CCAGCCTGGTGATGTGCCCAGCAGCTCTGGCTCAGGGTATGTGCAGCCCAACAGCTTCCCCAAAACGTGCACCCATGTGGAAATACGTTCCCCGTCGGTACAAGCACCCGGCTCCGTGGTGTGCCGTGTCCCCCTGCATGGGGGGACTCACAGCAAGCCTCCCAGCAGGGCAGACACAGCGGTTCACCCCGGGGACCCCCTCCAGAGCACCCGGTGCCAGCTCCCCATGGGATCCCCCCCCCACACCCACCTGCAAGCAGGAGTGTCCCTGGATGGGTGCCACGCGTTAGCCCGGGGCCATGCCATGGCAGTGCCAGCCAGCCCTACACCGAGGTCTCCTGCCGTGGGTGGCGGGGGGGTGTGCAGGATGTGGCTCCCTGCCAGAGGGAGCGGCGAGCCCCAAGCGGGGTGGGCATGGGCACCGCGAGGGCCGGCACGGTCGTCCTCGTGCTGGTGAACATGAGAGATGCGCATCACTGTTTTATAAATGTACAAACGCTCCCTAATAAAGAGGCACAAGTACAGCTGGAGCCGCCTGAGAGGGCTGGAGGGGGCAGCAGGTAGGGCTGGGGGGAGCAGAGGGGTGGGGGAGCGAGTCCCACCCCAGGGGAGGTGGTGGTGGAGTCCCCGCAGGAAACCTTGCCCGATGCCCAACTTCTTGAGCCCTGGCTTATTGCCAGCTGGGGGAACTGCCAGAACTGTACCCCCAGCCCCCAAATCACTCCCTGGGGCAGGTCAGGCACCCCACCAGCACCTCACTGAGCTCTATCAGGTGGGGAGGGTGGGCTCCTGTTCCCCCCGCCATGGGCTGCCACAGTGTGGGGAGGCAGATGGGACGTCAGAAACATGGGCTGGGGGTGGTTTGTGGGGTGCTCCACTGACGCTCTGTGCTGGAGCGGCACCCCGCACCCATGCCAACAACCTGGATCCCAGGCAGGACCCTCTCGACTGTGGTGTGGCCCCACCACGGTACCCACGGCCCCTCCACTCCCACGCCTGTTACCAACACCAGGCACAGCCCCTATCAGTTAAAGGCCGGTGCTTACACGGGCGCTGCCCTCACATGGGATCACCAGCAGGGTGCCAGCAGCCGCCTGCTCCTCCGAAACCCACTGTGGGCTGTGGGCCACATCCCCTTGGCGGGGGGGGGCACGGTGCAGGTGAGATGCCAGAGCCACCCTCAGCTGTCCCACAGTGGGACCTCCAGCAGGACTTGTATGGGTGCCATGGGAAAGGGGTGTGGGGTGAAACCAAAATGGGGTAGGTGGAGGATGGCGGGGAGGAGGAGAAGGGACCCCCCCCTGTGGTTTTCCCTGGCAGAGGTGCCTCTCCAGCTCCTGACTTCTCCAGATGTTTCTCCATCTGCCCTGGCTACCCTGCAGCACAGAGAGAGGGGACAGAGCAGGAGACAGGGTCTGGCCTCACGGTGGAGGCTGCCAGCACGGGGCACCACAGGTTTCCCTCTAAATTAGTGAGGGATGAAAATTCCCAGGTTAACTGGGTGCAGCTGGGACACAGGACTCCATCCTGCAGCTCACACCATGCCCTGTGAGAGGAGCACTGGGGTTGGGTCCTAAAGGGAAAAGCAGGGAAATAGCTACATCCTCCCAAATCTTTTCATCACCCAGTAAAAGGAACAGGCCCCTTTGGGTTCTTTGGGACGAGGCTGTCCCTGCCACCAGGTCCTGACCCATCTGCCCATCCAGGATGCCCTGCCACAAAGCCACCTTCATCCACACCAAAGCCGTGACTGGGAGCTCGTGCTGCCTCCTGCTCCACAGTGAAGACGTGTCGGAGGAGCTGAGCGAGGAGGAGAGCAGGATCATGCAGCTAGCCCAGCGCGCGGTGCTGGAGGTGCTGGAGGACGTGCTGAGGGATCCTGATACAACACCTGAAGGTCATGGTGACGCTGGCCAGAGAAGGCAGGAGCTGGGAGCAGTGCTACGCCATGCTCACCAAGCTGCTGCTCCGGCACCTCATTTCGCAGCTCCAGCAAGTAGCTTGCTGGAAAAACACCCACAAAGGCAGATCCTATGCCTATGAGAAAATAAAGGTGATTTTGGAGGATCGGGAGTGAAGTGTGGCAATGTCTCCCAACTGCCTCCAAAGAGGGTGGGCTGGTGAAGTGACCCACGCATCCCCCCGCTGCCTGCACCGTTCCTGATGTCCCAGTGCAGATGGCGTTGGGCTGAGAAGGACCAGCAAGACAACCCAAACTTAGCACCGCAGGGCCAGCCCCAAATCCCAGCACTGTGGCCCCTGGGTGCCCCCCCTCCCACGCTGCACCCATCCAAAGGCCACCGGGGGTCTGATCCCCCCCAAGGACAGGGCTGCTGCCACCCGGAGCTCGTCGGGCAGCAAAGCAATGTCCGCCCAGTCCAGTGATGCTTGAATCACCCTTAATGAGCCACATGGAATAGCTGGGGCATAATTAGAAGGGGATGATCCACCATAGTGAAACAGGCCCTTAATTTTAATGAGCACAGCCCTCCGGACAAACACCAGGCACCTAACCGCAGCAGGACTGGCTGCGCTGGCAACGGCTCCTGTCACTGGGGAGGTGACAACCCCGGCAGGCTCAGCTCCTGTGGGGTGCGAGGCCGGCCCCGGGGAGGGGGCACCAAGCCAGAGCAGCTGGTGAGGGTGCCTTCTGCCCGTGGGATGGGCATCTTGTCAGGCACTTCCCACTGTGCCTCCACTGCCATGCACCACAATTACAGCTGTTCCCAGGGAAAAGCCAAATTTCAAAGAAAACAAACCATCCGGCTTGGGAGCAGAAGGGCTGGAAGTGAGCCCTGGAGTGCAACAGGACACTGTTGCCTCCTCCGTAAGCACCTCCTGCCTGGAGATGCTGGTGGTGACAGGCAACACCTGGAAAAAAGAGTGACCATCAGCATCTCCTGATGACCTGAGTGTCCCCAGCTCGCTGTTTTGCTCCTGGCCATTTCCCCACAACCCCCCCTTGCTGGGAAAATGGACCAGTGGTGCTCATTGGTGGGGCCAGACAGGGGGACACACAGCCCTCTCCTTCCAGTGCTTGACCCCTGACAGCGGGCAGGCAGGCTGGAAAAAACAAGGAGGCAATTAAAATAAAAATCCAATCAAGCTGCCTGCCTTTCCCCCCAGCCCCGGTGCTTCAGGCTCCTGCAATCTGCCCGCACCCGGGCTGTGTGTCCCTGGGCATAGCTGGGCGTGCTGACACCCTGAGCAAGGAAACCCCCACGGGCAGGCACACACCGCAGCAGCCCTGCCTGCACTTACAGCTACCGTCTGTTTCTCACCTCACCAAAAAGCTTTGAATTCCCCAAGCTTTTTCAGAAAAGCCCGTGTCCAAAGACCGCTCGCACCTTCCGGAGAGGCTCAGCAGTGCGTTGGGCTGTGACCCGGGGGCCTTGGGTGCAGGCAAAGTCCACCATCTCCCTGCCTGCTCCTCCTTAAGCACAGTAGTTTCTCCTGCCCTTGATTGCAGCAGGGAGGAAAAGTTTGCCAGGGTTGTGTCCTGCTATTTGGCTGGTGGAGCTGCTCCAGCGGGACAGGCAGCGAGGCACCGCTGGCCCTTCCCAACAAAAGCACAGGGACAAAAGGGCACTGCGCTTCCCCTTGTCCTCCAGCCCTCTCCTGGCACAGCCGCGCTTCCTACGTCCTCCCAAAGGTCAGCCATCATGATGATTAACATTGTCCTGGCTGAAGTAACTCTGCCATGGAGTTTAGCACAGCCAGAAGTGACCCAGGCAGGGCTAGAAGGGCAGATTTTGCCTTCCCCATTCACGGGCTCACTGCTAAATTTGCAGGGAGGTGCCTGCATGACTGCACAGGGGAAAAAAATTGTGGGGGACGGGCAGAACAGCAGAGCAGTAGTTTGGGTTTTCCTCAGCTTAAGTCCCTTTCCTTGCAGTGGTGCGGGAAGGAGAGGGGAGGCAGGCGCCCATCCAGCCCTGATGCACCAGCCGGCCCCTCTCGAGCTTTGCTCTGAACTGGCCCTTCACACCCCCTTCCAAAAAAGTCCCAAAGAGGAACTCACATTGCTCTTCTCGAAGGCTGTGGTGAGTAAGTAACGCCTTTAGAAAATTTTCTCAAGGGCAGTAAAAGTCTGGACAGTAGATGTGTTTTCTCCTGTCCCATTGGGAAAACTGCCCTTTCATTGCTCTGCCTCTGCAGCTGTGTCTGTGCAAAAACCCGCACGTTGTATGGAAGGACCAGTCAAACGTGTACAGGGATTGCAGCGTGTCCCTGTCTGCTCAGCTGCCCACGCCAGCACCCTGGGGCCGCTCCTCCCTGCCTCTTCCAAGAGTGTCACCATCCCAGCCTGGCACCCTGGGTGGGCAGGAGGGGGCCAAAGCGCAGTTGTGCCCACGTCCCCACAGGTCTCTGCTGTTGCCTTGTGAGCCCATTTACCTCATCCAGGCACAGGAAGGTTGTTCTGGGCCCTGGACAAGCCGGCCAGCCCGCTCCCATCACCAAACTCCTTCCCGAAGCTTTGCGCATCCTTCCCCAAGGTTTTCAGATGTTTTGACGCAGCAAATAACTTGGCAAACACCAAAGCGGCTTCAAATTCTGCCAGCTCCTTTTAAAAGGGAGCAGTAACCATGCTGGGACAAGCACTGTCACTTGCTTGCACGTATGTCAGAGCAGGGGGAGCTTCGCTGGTGTTGACAGTGCGGAGCGTTAAGTATGCAAATAGCTCTAACTCAGTCTGGGCAAACAGCAGTGAGGAGGCAAGAGCAACTCTATCTAGACCATCTTGCAACAATTAAATGACAATTCCGGGTTTCTTTTTGCAGCCAACTTGATTTGAAGCTGGTTTGCTTTATTAGCATTTGGATACTCTTTGAATGCCTAATCCCATCCGACTCCTAGGTCTGCTTTTCTGAGGAGAAATGTATCTGTAATGCACCTGCATCCGCCTCGCTCCCTCTGTCCCAGATTCACATTTAAAGGGAATTAAGGATGTGCTTGGGGTAGATCAAAAATAGAAATACTCAGAGCAAGCTAATGGTTAGCATCTGAAATACAATAAAATTATATTTAAACATATACGCTCCTACACCATGGATATGAAGACTGAAGCAGGAATACGGGAATGAGGTATCTTTGGAGAAGGCATGCCACACAGCCCAGGGGCTTTCCATTTGTTTCACTAAGCACTAACAGCCTTGAAAATTAACAGCAAGTAGGTTTAGTTAATTTTCCTGGGGATGTCTCTTTGATAAGTGTGTTTCGTGAACAAATACAACATGATGACCAAAGGACTGGTGGGAAGAGCACGTGGAGCCATGAAAATGATGCCTGGAGCCAGCAGCACAGGCACGGGGGCAGCGCCCTGCTTCTCATACTGCAAATCAGAGCTGTAGGTGGTGAAATAGTCCTGGGCAGGACCATGGTGCTCTGCCCGACACAGAACTGGAAACCACAAAGTGCTGAGAAAACCCAAGATGCAAAACAGCCCAAGAAAGGGTAAAACCAATGCAGAGAGGGCAGGTCCAGCCCCAATTATTCAACACAGGGCTCAGATGCAGTTACTGGCCCAGGAGTTTCCTTCGGAGATGATCGCAGATGCTGGAGGGCAGAGCTCACCCCCACTGGGCACCCAGCCTCTGCTCTGACGTGGGCCAGGGGTGCCCCGTTACCCACATACAGCCCACAGAGGCTGTTATGGGGACAGCACACACGGGAGGACGCATGGCTGTACCAGCCCCTGACTGTGGTGCTTTTCCACCCACAGCTGGGGCTGAGAAGGGCTGGAAACCTGGTCGGTGGGACCACAAATTTATGGCACCAGGAGAGACAGGTCATTGCCCAAAGCTGAGCATGCTGGCACCAGGGCTTCCCGGGGCAAGGGGCTCAGCATCCTGATGCACCACCAGTGACTGGCAGCAGGTAGTGACAGCAGGAGAGTCCCAGGGACACCAGGCATCAGAGGTACAGGACAGCTGCTGCAAGCTCCCAGGGGTTCAAGCTGGCATTTCCAAGTGTCTGCTTGGCCCAGTGCCTGCCAGCCTGTCCATAAGCCAACGGGCTCCCCTGGCCTTGTCTCCCAGCTCAGGTAGAGGATGCTTCAGACAGCTTGGGGAAAGCAGCATCCCTTTGAGGAAGTGGTCCAGCCAGACGCAACCAGATTTTGTACAAGCAGCCAGCACCTACCACCACACAGACCCCCAGCAGGACACCCAGAGGTGCCCCAGGGAAGAATCAGCCGGATCCACCGGTTCATCTCTCCATTTTATTAGTGTAAATGCACCCCCCCCCTCCTCTCCCCACTATTAAATACAAACCAGGAGCAGAGAGCGGCTCCTCAGTCACTTTCTCCTTAGGAGATGCGCAGCCAAACCCTCTGCCAGGCCCACCAGCGCCAGGCACCGTGTCCCCCAACCCCGAGGGCGGCCCCGCGGTGGGGAGGGCTCCCACCTCTGGCGAGAGGCTCTTGTCTGAGGGCTGCGACCTCCGACGTCCTATCAATACTGCGAAGGCCGAAGCGGCCTGGGTCACGGTTCCCATGGGGAGCAGCTCACGGTATGTGAATACAGCAGGATCCCCTCCAGCACCCCCTGTGCCCACCGGCCCCAGGGGCCAAGTCCCCCCCACCCCAACCAGCCGGGAGCGCTCCAGCTTTTTGCCAAGTGGCAAAACTCCGAAACCAACCTCCTTATTGCTCTTCTGGGGTGGGATGTGCCCCATCCCGCTGCCCCGCGGCAGGAGCGGGGACACAGCCCTCCCTGCACAGCGCTCCAAAGGAGTGAGGGGCACAGCCCTGTCCTGGGATGCTGGGAGACCCACGATGGATCACCCCCAACCCTGGGGCAGTTGCGGCCCTGCAGCAGGGGGGCCTTGGGCTCTGCATGCCTCCAGTTGAGGGGGACAGCAAGGGACAGGGCAGCCCATCGCCTCCCCACTGGGCAGCAAGGCCAGGACGGAGGGATGGGGCCGGCGACCAGCAGCTCTGGGGTGAGGAGCCAGGCGTTTCAGCTCACAGCTCAGCGACTCCAACCCCACCTCACCCCAGGGCCTGAACAGCCACAGTCGCTCTGGAAGGACCCGCGCACCCCCAGGCTGGCAGACCCCAGCAGGGTAAGTCACGAGCTCGGGCGCCGATGATCCCTGCGGGCGCCGGGAGGAGGAAGACAGATTTGGGCAGCAGAAGAGGTGGGGTGGGGGCAGGCAGGCATGGCAGGGGAGGGCCAGCCCCTCCGCACCCTGGGGTTCAGGTGCTGTTCCCCTGCTCCTGCTCGAAAAGCACCATGGCCAGCTGGGAGCGAGAGCCTACGCCCTCCAGGCTGCTCTGCACGCAGCGGTGGTAGATCTCCTCGCTGAGCCGGGGGTTGCAGGCCTGGTGCCGGTAGCGCTGCAGGAGGGCGGGCTCCACAGCCCGGAAGACATGGAGGTTGGAGTACTTGATGAACATGTCGTAGATGTCCAGGGTCTCCAGGATGTCCTCATTCTCCTGCACGTCACCTGCCATGCGGGTGCGCGCTGCCATGTAGTCAGCGTTGTAGAAGCAGGCTTCATGGAAGACGTCGCGGTCGAAGCGCCCCGCGTCCCGCAGCAGGTCCAGCGTGGCGGGCGGCGCCTGGTTGTGGTAAGCGATGGCAGGGTTGTAGCCCTGGAAGTGGATGGGGAAGAAGACCTGCCAGTTGTTGATGGTGTTCATCCGGCAGCGGTTCAGGAAGTCAACGGTGACCTCGGTCCCCACGCCAGCCACAAAGAAAAGCGTGTCCACAGGATGCTTCTTGGAGATGATGTCCATGACCTTGATTTGGGAGGGTGCATCTGTCTTAACGCTGATCCACGGGATCTTCACCTCTGCGTACTTGCGCTCATACTCGGTGATCTGGGCCTTCACGGGGGCGAAGATGTCATTCTGGGCGACCTGCTGGGCCTCAAAGGGATCGTAGATGAAGAGGAAGGTGAGCACCGCATTCTCGCTGCTCTCAAAGGCGGCCGCCGCGTAAGCCTCCAAAAAGCGGGCAGCGTGGTCCCGGTCGTGGGCCGTCAGCGGCAGGATGACGTTGATGCGGCTGGCCTCCGTCACGTAGGGCATGGGGATGATCTCCACCTCGCTGAGGGGCCGCACTAGGTGCACGCGCTTGGTGACGGAGCGGCTGTGCCCCTTCTGGGTGACCACCTCCACCTGGAGGTCCAGCGTGTACTCCATGCCGCGCGTGGGGTCGAAGCGCCGGTACCCGTTCACCAGCTGCTGCTTGCGGACGTGGAGCACCGGCTGGTACTTGCGGTTCAGCTCCTCCATGGCCGTGGCCACCACGTCGGCCACGTCGGCCAGATCCACGCCGTGCAGCTCGCACTTGGGGGAGCCGTCCACGCAAGCGTAGACCTGCTCCTCCGTGAAGTAGTCCCAGCGCAGCACCTCGAAGCGGGTTTTGGGCTGGAAGGGGGGCGAGATGCCAACGGGCCACGTGGCGCCGTGGTCCCCGTCAGCGGACAGGCTGCTGGCGTTCTGGATCTCCAGCTGCAAGATGAGAGATGGAGGAGTGAGAGCCGAGGTGGGTGCAAGTAGGTCTTCCAGCTCTGGCTGCAGGCTAGCTGATTCCCGATACTCAGAGACGGGCCACTCCTGGCCCAAAGAGCAATGCCAGAACAAATCTGCCTTCAGCCTGACTCCTGCCCAACACCTCAGGTTTCCTCTGAGCAGCACCCGAAATATGGCACACCTCCTCCATCAGCAGGATCTGTGCCCTCTCCCACCCTGCCCGGCCTTTGCCGGTGGACCTCAGCACCCTGCTGGCTCCACCAGCCTGAATCATCAACACAGCTCCCGGATCAAAGCTGCTCTCCAGCCAGCACCACTGCCACAGCATTTTCAGGTGAGAAACCCTCATGTTAGAGTGGAGAAGTGACACAGAGCGACCAGAAAGTCTGCAGGGATAACAGGAGGAGCCCAGACCCTCCCACCTAAGTCAAGTCTCACCTGGAGCTGCTGGATCTCCTGGTAGGTCCTCTCAAGCTCCACCTGTGCAAAGTACTTGTGCAGCCGGTACATCTGGAGAGGATCCAGCACGGGGTGGACAGTGAAGGCGCTCTGGAAACGGAGGTCAGTCTCCCGCTCGGGGTCCGCGTTCTTCCCCAGCTCAAAATAGTGGTAATGCAGGCCCTGTGCCAGACAGGAGAGATGGGTCACGGCCAGCCCTGACCCACACTCCCACCCCACAGGCGGCCAGCACAGCAAGCTCAAAGGATGACAGGGTGGAAGGGCTGGTCCCCCCCAGGGCAAACACACCGGGCCAGGATCAGGCTCTTGGAGGCCATCTCTGCTGAAGGACCTACCTCGTGCTCCTCGACACAGTTGACGGCCGTGTAGTCGATGATGCAGCGGCCCAGCCACTCGTCAGGCCGGGCGCTGAGGATGTCGTTGCGGCAGCTCTCCAGGTGCTGCTGCAGGAGTAGGAGAAGGCTGCGGGACAGCAGGTAGCCAAACCCCCCATAGCAGTATCGTCCCTCAGTGTCCCCGCCGATGAACTCCTCGGGACGGCCCAGGTAGAGGTGGGTGTCGATGCTGAGGTGGGCGACCAGGCGGCTGATGCGGTGCGCCTCCGTGTAGGTATCGTCTTGCACCAGGAAGAACCAGTCGAAGTCGTTCACGTAGTGATCCAGAAGGTACCTGACGGTCTGGTACATGTTCCAGATGGGCCGCTCGTCACTGTGGGTCACCACCGTCATGCCGTGGGGCACCTTGCGGCCCCGCGTGCCTGTGAAGTACACCAGGCGCTCCAGGCGATGGGCCAGCGTGCGGTTGACAGCCACCCCCAGCGTGTTCAGCGTGCTCTTGGAGGTCAGCACACCCACAAAGAGCCGCTGCCGCATCCCCAGCTCCGTGCTGATGTACCGTGTCCTGCAGGAGGGAGAGAACGTCTGGCCCCAGGGTACTACACCCCACCTCAGCCTGTACCCTCCCCATCCAGCACCGACCTCGGATCTTCTGCAGTAACTGCCCCCAGGTTTCAGCCACACGTGCAAGACATCACCCCAGTGGCACCAGCTGCCTGGGTCTGAGGCACAGCAGAGTGCTCTGCTGAGGTCTCCCCCAACCTGAGACTACGGGGGACCCTCCCTTTCCACAAACCAGCCACCTCGGCTCAAACCAGAGGCTCGCAAAAGGCTGAGCACGGCTAGAAGAGGGAAACAAGGCTGCACGTCCCAGCTCTAGCAGGGACACGACCCACCAGGCACCCCACCACGCTGCCAGCCGCGGCCAGGACAGCCGAGCTGGAAAGCACCTTCCTGCCACACCGCTCCTGAGCGGGGAGGGGAGCCTATGCTGCCCTCCCCAGCAAAGCCAGGCCCCGCTGGGGCGGCTAAAGCCGTTACGGGGCCAGTTGCCTCCCCGTCCCCACCACAGCCCCCGGCTGCCCCACTCACAATGACTTTCGGGCTTAATTCTCCCAGTCTGGCGCAGCGGCAGGAAGCAACAGCACCCCCCCCCCCCCCGGCCCCCAGCCACCGCCTGGCACACACTGGCCTCATTCAGCCCCCGCCGTCCGCCCACCGCCTCGCCGGGACAAGGAGGCCCTTTCACTGCCTGCTCCCTGTCATCCCAGGGACGCCAGGACGGGCCGCAGCCCCCCCCGGAGCAGGCTGGGGTTTGCAGTGTTGGGGAGGGGTGGGGGGGGGGGGGTCCCTGCTAGGGCCGGGGAGGGTGCCCGGCAGCACGTGCAGCAGCAGCGTGGGGATGAGACTCTTCCAGGCGCTCCAGAGACAGGCAAGGGGGGGGGGGGGGGGGGGCGGGGGGAGGAGGGGGGGTAAGGAGAAAGGGCAGGCGGCGGGGGGCAGCGAGGAGGAAGGGAAGCAGCAAGGGAAGGCGCTCGCAGTGAGAAAAATCCAGCTGCAGCCCTGTGGGGCTGCCGGGGGGGGGAAAGCACATCGCCGGGTCACCCCCGCCCCGCAACCAGCCCGGCGGACACAGCCCCACACCCGGGCACCCCGGGCTCGACCGGAGCCACCCCCCTCTAAAACCCGATGAGCGCCGGCGGCCGTTCTTCCCCCCGCTCCCCCGGCCCGGCCCGTCCCCCCCCCCCCCCGCACCTGACGGCCTTCTTGGCGGCCCTGCCGGGGCTGGGCGGGCGGTAGGGCACGACGCGGGGCTCCCAGCTGTCGGCGCCCAGCCCGGCGGGCACGGCGTTGGGCCTGCGCGCCGCGTTGCCGTTGGTGTTGCCGGGGCCGGGAGGCGGCGCGGGGCCGCCGTCGGGGCGCGGGCGAAGGGCGGCGGCGGCGGAGCGCGGCGGCGGCCCGCAGGGCTCCTCCACCCAGGTGACGCTGAGCAGGCTGAGGGTGAAGCCCAGCGAGACGCCGATGGCCACCGGCCCGGCGGGCCGCAGCACCGACAGCACCAGCGACAGCCGCATGGCCGGGACGGGACCGGGGGCGGCTCCGGCTGCCGCTCCCGCTGGCGGCGCCGCCGTCCGACGTGTCACCCCCTGGCCCCGCCCCGCCGCGCGTCACCGCGGGCGGCCCGCCCCGGCCAATGGAGCGCGCTCCCGCCGGCGCGTCACGGGGCGGGGCGGGGAGAAGCGAGGGAGGGTGGGGGGAGAGGGGGGCGGCGTGGGGGCGGGGCGAGGTTGCTAGGAGACCGCGCGGCCGGCCTTTCCCCCACGCCCCCCCCCCCCCCCCCCCCCCGCCCCGCCCCACGCCGACCTCTTTCCGTGGCGGGGCAGGGGGGCGAGACCCCCGCGCCGAAACCCGGTACCCCGGGCCGGCACACGGCTCCTGAGCCGGCTCCAGGTTGGATTTCCCCGAGGGCCGGTGCCGCGGGGCCGGGGGCACAGCCGGCCCTTTGTTCCCGGGGCCGAGGGGCCGCCGTGGGGCCGGTCGGGCAGAGCCGCTGCACCCCCTCCCTGGGACACCCCAACTGGTGAATTCGTCGCGGCCTCGAAGCGCCATGTTCCCTTTCTCAAATCACTGCCGGGGGGGGTCTGGCAGAAAGCGTGGGCAGCTGCGCTGGGTGTCCCCGGGAGGTGACCGGCGGCCGTGAGTGGGTGGGGTGGATGGGTCCGAGGCCAGGAGCTGCAAAGCCCGGGTGGGTGGGAAGCAGGCGTGCAGGGGGCCAGTGGTGTCTGGAAGAAATTTGGACGCAGCGGCAAACTGTCCCCGGGCAGGAGGAGGGTGGGCAGAGCCATGGGAGATTCCGGTGGCAGGGACCCTTATCCTGCGAGTCAGAATGGAACCAAAGAGCTGGGGTCCTTCAGCCGGGGCCTGGTCACTGTCCGGAGAGAGCCCAGGGGCAGAGGGAGCTGTAGGAACCAGCTCAGGGCAGAGTTTGCTGCGCACAGGGATCCTCCGGCACAGGAATGATCCAACCCAGAAGCTGCCAAGCCAGCAGCCCGGCGTGGCTGCTCAGTGCTGGGCATTGCTGAATACGGACAAGGAGGGCGACCCAGCTTTTCTGCCCATTCTCAGGCCCTGTTTCCAGCAGCCTCCCAGCCCTCGGGGCTTGCAAGTGCCTCTGGATTTATTCTGGACGGTGGGGAGCCCACCCCACCCTCCCCGTGAAACGCGGGGCCGCCTGCCCTGGAGAGCACAGAGGGCAGGCGGGAGCCTGCTCGGCTCCAGCGTCCCTTTCATTTTCTGGAACAAAGCAGCCTGTTTTCATCAGGAAGTGGTTGGCAGCATCCCACCCCCCAGAGATACGGGACCATCATCCAAGCTTGGCTCGTTTTCATAGGCCTTTTTCTCCTGAATAGGCCAAGACAAGCAATAGGCAAAGGCTGTCACGTGGACGGCAGTTTAATGGAGAACATATAAAAACTGGAAACAGAGGGAACGTGATGGGACCAAGAGATGCCAGAAGGGAAAAGATGCAGAAGGAATGAGCAGAGATTTTCCATGGACAAAGGCCAAAAAGCAAGCGTGATCGTAAACAACCAAAGCTGCCCGTTTTCTCTACACTGAGAAACATGTTAAAAAGGGATGTATTTGATTTCCTTTACAGGTTGGAGTATTTAATATCGGTCACCTTATGCGAATCCAGATGATTTTACGTGAGTGGTAAGAGAGGTTTCATTCCGAAATGACCCTGTCGATCTGAGCTTGTATTCCATAGAGGTGCAGACAGGACAAAGTACTGGAGCTTTCAGCAGTAAGACTGAGCTCATTAAAACCGTGCGGAGACAGAGCTGGGGGCAGAGCAAACCCCTCCGCGGGGCCGTGGCTGAGCCCAGGCCCCTGCCCGGCCCCAGGGCGGGGAAGGAGCCGGCGGGCGGCCGCGCTGCTCCTCCGGCAGCCCCTCTGCAGCCCCCCGCCAGCTGCAGCTCCCGCCTTTGTCTCCCCGGCCTTGGCGCGGGGCTGGGACGGGGCTGCCAGGGGAACGGCCGCTGCTGCCAACGGCCTTCTCCCTGCCAGCATTTCCCGGGGGGCTCCGGGCGCTGCAGCCGGGAGGTGCCGGCTCCAGGCAGCTCTGCCGCCGCAGCGCTCCGCGTCCTCCCGCTGCGCCCACGCCTCCCGCCCCGCTCGCAAGGGCACGGGTGGGCACCCCCCTGCGCGGGTGTCGGCACCCCCCTGCGCGGGTGTTTGCCCCCACAGCCACCGCAGGTGCGGTGGCGCCCCCGGGGCCCTCGCAAACCTCACGCCACGCTGCGCCCGCAGCCGCGTTCCGACTCCCCGGTGCGCGGCCCGGTGCGCGCACTGGCGCGCAAACCAGTGCACGTGCCGGCGCGCACCCCGAAGCCCGCCCGGGGGCCCGCTCCGCCCCCGCCAGAGGCCCCGCCCCCTCCCGGAGAGGCCCCGCCCTCCCCATCCGGCCACGCCCACCCACCCCCCTCCCGGGCCGGCGCGGTGACGCAAGCGGTGACGTCAGGCGGAGCTGTCCGCTCAGCACCGCGCGGCGGGCCGCGCCGCCGGCATGCGCGGGGGCCGGGGCCGGGAGCGCCGGGCGCCGCGGGGCCGCCGCCGCTGCCGGGCCGGGAGCGCAGGTGGGAGCGGGCGGGGCTGCGGGGAGGGGGGGGCGGCAGGCGGCGGGGAGCGGCCGGGTCCCTCGGGGGGAAGGAGGGGGGGGGGGGGTGGTCGAGGCACCGGAATCCCGGGTCCCCCGTCCCGGGGGAGCGGAGCGCAGTGCCCGGGATGGGCGTGCGGGGCCCGGCGGAGCGCCCCCGGGACACCCCCCCCCCCCCCCTCCCCGAACAAAGAGAGGGGCGGAGCGGCCCCGCGCCCCGGCGGCCTTTGCGGCCGTCGCTTAGCAACGCCGCGCCCGCCCCGCCGGCCCCGGGGCCCGGCAGCGCGGCGGGGGCGGGGGGGGGGGGGGTAGCGCGGCGGCGGGAGCGTGCCCCGAGCGCTGCGCTCCCCGCCCCGGGGCGGGGGGGCCCGGGGCTGCGGGGAGGGCGGCAGCAGGTGGGGTAGTCCCGGCGCCAATGAGCAGGCGCTGGGCTCCCCTAGCAACAGTGCCCGCGCCAATGGGCGCCGGGAGCTGCCTGCGGCGCTGCCCGCATCCCCGCCGGAGACGGGCCTTGCCAGGCGACCCTTCCCCGCTGCCCCGGCCCCGGGCCTGGCACCCCGCTGCCCTCCCAGCCCTGCCGGGCCCTGCCCCCAGCCCCGGCCAGAGCCCGGCTTTTCCCCCAGCCGGGTTAAAGTCCAATCCTGCTTAGCATCCCCCCCGCCCCGGGGCGCTGGGGCAGGGGGCCGGAGCTTGGCTGCCGGCTCCCTGCCCGCCTGCTTCCCCGGGATTAGGCACCGCGCTCGGCTTCTCCCGAAGGGGATTTGCCCTGCTTCGTGTTTCCTTCCCCCCGGACGGAGGGACGGAGGAGGCTGGTGGGGGCCGGCCCGGGCAGCAGCGAGGGGCTCGGCGATACGGGGCCGTGGCTGCAGCCTCTGCCCTCTTCCCTGCCCCGGTTTTGTGAGCCGGCTGCTTTAACGTGGCGCTTGGAAAAGGACTGGTGCTGGCCCAGGGGCAACTGGTGGCGATAAACCCACCCTAAAGCACCCGAGCCCGGAAAGGAGCCAGGGGAGCAAAGGGATGCTGGAACTGGCTCCAGGTGGGAGCAGGCAGACGGCTGCTGTAATTAGGTTTAAGCTGAAGCTGGATCAGTCTTTGCGGGGGATTATGACCCCTCCGTCTGCAGAGGCGCTGTGAGGGGCCCGGCAACTGCCTGCTCAGCATCCCGGCACGGCCACGGCGTTGCAAGTGGGCCCTCGGGTAAGGGGCAGCACCAGCCATGGCCAGTCCCCCTCTACCCCCGTGGGTGGGCGTGGGAGAGCTGGATCCAGTGTGGGGGCCTGCTTTGTTTTTACAAGGACACTAGGAGCTGGAGCAAGGATGAAAAATAGCCAGAAATATGATTAGAGGATTGGAGAAAATGCCTTGGAGTACAAGCTTTAAGAGCTCAATCTGTTTAGCCTATAAAAATAGAAGTCTGAGGAGTGACTTAATTACTGAGCACAATTACTTCACAGGCAGAAAATACCAGGTAGTGGAAGTCTCCCTTTAACTGAGCAGGGAAAGGGTGCTGGAGAGCCAGGGGCAGGAAATTAGAGCTGCAGACAAATTATAAAGCACTGTGTCCCGGCAGCAAAGCTCCCTGGGGGTGCAGGCGGGCACCCTGGGGATGGTGCATCCCTGAAGCCACCCGTTGGGTGACAGTCTGCGCCCCTGCAGCCCCTGTGGATGAGGCTGTTCCCCCCCATTCCCTTCCTTCCCCCCCCCCCCCCCCCCTCCCCAGGCAGCAAGGGGCCGGAGCAGGTTTTCTGGTAGCTGGGTGCCAAGTGGTGGGCACTGCCTTCAGGTACGAGCCGGCGGTCCCTCCATCCCCCTTCTCTCTCTCTCTCTCTCTCTCACCAGCTGGGGCGGGTGCCGGGGTGCAGTTTTGCCAGCGAGCCATGGGGCAGGAGCGAAGATTTTGATGCCTCTCCCGGGAGTCCCCAGAGCCATGACTGCAACTGTGCAGACGCTGCGGTTCAAGCTGCTGCCGCACGAGCCGGGCCAGGAGTGGGGGCACAGCTGCCAGCAGGAAATCGAGCGTCGCTACCAAGTGGTGCCCTCAGTGGTGTGCGCCATGTGCTGCCTCTTCGGAATCATCTACTGCTTCTTCGGTGAGCCAGGCCAGCCCGGTGGCTGGCAGGGCAACTGGGGACTGGGGAGAAAGGCAGGGGGGGAGCCGAGGGGGTGCTGGCCGTCCACCCCCTGACTGCTGTGGTCTCTCTCCACAGGCTACCGCTGCTTCAAGGCCGTCATGTTTCTGACGGGGCTGATGTTCGGCTCCATCATCATCTTCATGCTGTGCTACAAGGAGCGGGTGCTGGACACACAGCTGAGCGTGGAGGCCTCGGTGGGCATCGGGCTGGGCATCGGGGTCCTGTGCGGGCTGGTCACCATGCTGGTGCGTAGCGTCGGCCTCTTCATGGTGGGGCTGCTCCTGGGGCTGCTGCTGGCAGTGGCCACGCTGGTGGTGATGGAGCAGTTCTACCACCCGCCGACGGTGTGGATCCCCATCGCGCTGCTCCTCGGTGTGGGGATGCTCTTCGCCGTCCTCACCCTGCAGTGGCAACGCTTCTTCACCACCCTCTCCACCGCCGTCTTCGGCAGCGCCATCATGACCGTCACTGTCGATTACTTCATCGAGCTCTTCCTCCTGGTGCAGTACATCTATGAGCGCATCAAGGTGGCCCCGGCTCGCCCCGTGTGCTGGTACAGCTGGGTCATCCTGGGCATCTGGCCGCTCCTCACCACGCTGGGCGTCCTGGTCCAGTGGAAGGTCACGGCCGAGGGCTACTCCCACACAGAAGGTGTGTGGGGCTGGGGGAGATGGACTTGGCACGGGGTGGGTGCAGGACCTGGGGATCCTGGGGAGCAGAGCGGAGGTTCTCAGCAGCTGGTTTGTGTGCATGAGTAAGGGGTTCGTGACTCTACAGGGGCACAGCACTCAAGGGCAGGCCTGGGTGCGCAAAGCTGGGGCTGGTTTGGGTGCGGGGCTGGTTTGGGTGCGCTCCCCAGCGCTCACAGGCCCCTCTTCCTCGCAGTGATCATCAGCCGGCAGCAACGCCGCGTGCAGCTGATGCGCATCAAGCAGCGGGAGGACCGAAAGGAGAAGAAGAAGAAGCGGAGACCCCACCACCCACCGCCCCACCAGCACAAAGCCCACCCACCCGAGCCTGCCTACCGCCGCAAACCCAACCCCGTGCGCCGCTTCGATGGGGACGTGCTCTCCCCCGTGAGTCCCGCACCCAGGGTAGAGATCTCCCCCAGCCTCCGCGGCCCTTCCTTCTCCATGCGGGTGGGCTGGGGCACAAAGAGGGGAGAGGGGCTTGGGTGCCAGCCAGCATCTGAGCTCCTTGAGGGATGAGGCCAGGGCATCCTGGGGACTGGGCAGCTCAGGAAGGGCTGAGCCGAGACGTGCCCAACACGGAGCACTTCAGCCTTGGGAAGCAAATGTAAACTGGTGGCCAAAAGCACTGCGGTCGCAGCAGAAACAGGCGGTGGGCAAGGAGCGAAGCGTGCGCCCAGGGAAGGGATGGGGTTGTGCGCCCTGCTGCGGCCAGCCCGCGGAGGGCCCGGCTACTGGGGTGGGTGGGATTGCGCAGAGCTGGTTCTGGGGAGCTGCTGCAGAGGTTAGGGTGGGCCAGGAGCAGAGCCCCCCTCACTTTCTGTCCCGCCTCTCTCAAACAGAGCTACATCCAGAGTTTCCGAGAGCGGCAGACGGGGCCGACCCTGAACAGCCTCATCACCAGCTCCCATGCTGTGGTGGACCTGGACTATGACTGCAGCTCCACCGTGCCCCTCACCACGGGCTCCGGCCCTGCCGTGAGGGTATAAGCCAACCCAGTGACCTCAAGCAACACCAGCACCCCAGCCTGCTCCGACAGACCCTCTGGAACAGGCGGGGCTGTGCCCTTGACCCTGGACGACCACGTGCAGCTTGGGGCTGTGGATGGAGACCCTTTCTGGGGACACATTGGACTTGTCTGGGCAAGCCCGAGCTGCCTGCGGGGCCCGGGGGTGCAGGGGGAGCCCTCCTGCAAGGACTCAGTCCAAGAACTGGGAACACCAGCACCCATGGACATGTGGTGTGAGCGGCTCTGCTGGGGCAGAGGCTCCCTGAGCCCCCGCTGCTGCGTGTTTCCTCACAGCCCGGGCATGCTCATCCTGCATCCCAACACTGCCCAGCTCCCTCTATTCGAGCCCCTCTTCCCCAAGAGCAGCTCCCTGCGCCTGCCCCCCACCCCATTGCAGCCCCCAGCAACTCCCCAAGTGCCTGTGCCCCATGTCCCTTCCTCAAAGAGCAGGTCCCACAGCCCTTGCCCCGCAAGGGACTCGCCCGAGCATGTGCGTCCTGTCCCACCTTGGCCCCGAGAGCAGCTCCCAGGCAATGCTTCCCAAAACCTGCCTCTTCAGAAGGTCCTCCCACCCTTGCCACCCTCCTTGCCCTCCAGAGCAGCTCGCCGCCCCCCCCCCCCCCCCCCCCCTTTTCCTGAGCTGGACTGGGGTGGTACTGGGGCAGAGGCTGCCAGGGCCAGGTGGTTCCCGGGGTGATGCTGGCAAGTAGCGCCTGTCCAGCGGGAGCTGCGCTGGGGGGGGTGCACCGCGTGCATCCCCCCCCCCGACTATTTTGATGGGAGATAGGACACTGGATCCAGCCTTTGGGCAGAGGCTGGGCTGCCTCAGGGACGTGGGGACCCCTGCAGCGTCAGAGGCCGTCGCTGTTTTGCTGGCGACTGGATTTTATAGTGGCCAAGGGGGGCCCTGAGGTTGGTCCGAGCCTCCGGCTGGGGCAGGGCAGGAGCCCCTCTGCTGTGGGCAGAGGCTCCCGCCTTGTATATATTTCTCTTGCTGTGATTTGTATTAATTTATTATGGAGTGAGCCAGGACTTCCCCACGGCCAGGCAGGCAGGATGGGGGCGAGACTGGACCGGGGTGCCCCCCTGCTTTGGGACCCCCTCCCCAGCCCAGCCCGGCTGGCCCTGCTGCCCCGGGAACTGCATGTTTCTGCCAGGCGCCCCTGTCCCCACAGCGCCGCGCCGCCGTCCCCCTTTTCAGTCTCTTTTGTAAATGTGCCAAACGCTGCTGAGGCCACAGCCACACAGTAAAGAGCCTTTCGGAGCCCGGTGTGCGGGGGTGAGGGGGGGCCTGAGGGCTGGGCTCCCTGGGGGTGCGGGGTGGGATGCAGAGCAGTGCCACCACCCCTTCTCCTAACCCCTGGCTTGTTGGGGTGGAAGACGCCATGTCAGAGAAAAAAAAAAAAAAAGCTCTTTAATGCAGGGCCCTGAGGCTGAAGCAGGCTGGGGATGGTGTCTGTGTGTCCATACATCCCAGGGGAGGCATGACCCCATCTCACAGTACCGACATCCATCTGTTTGTCTGCATCCTGGCTCCTAGCTCCCTGCAGGGACAATGGGTGATCAGGGAGAGCTGCAGCATCCCCAGAGCTGGTGGGACACCCAAAAAGGGGTGTGCGAGACATGGAGGGCACAGACCTCTGGTCCCATGTCCAGCCTGCTCCCCTCACCCCAGACCTTTGCAAGCCGTGGGGCGTGGGAACAGGGCCCCGTGGTGTCCTGCTGCAAGGCATGGCGGCACCACCAGCCCCCAGTGGTGCCCCCCCGGGCGCCCCCTCACCCTCCACGAGGAGCCGGGCGGTGGAGCGGTCATCGAAGGCGTCGCAGGTGTACGAGTCCTCGTCCTCGGGACCCACGCGGTGGATGATGAGCGTGCGGTAGCAGTCCAGATTGCAGATCTCGTACTTGTCGCCGGCAAAGATTTCGGTGTCCCCGCGGAGCCAGCGCACCCGGCCCCGGGCGTGGGACACCGTGCACTCCAGCGTCGCTTTGTGCCGCGCCAGCACCGTCTTATCCCGTAGCGGCTTCACGATCCGGATGGGCAGCGCTGGCAGGTGGGGTGGGGGGGAGCCGTCGGCATCGTGGGGTGAGCAGGTCCCCGTGGGGACCCCACAGGCTGACCGTGGTGCACCCCCAGCCCTGGTGCTGGAGCCCGGGAAGCCCTTGCACCCCACGCCAGTACCTTCCACCCGCAGGCTGGCCTCTGAGGCGGCTGTCCCCGCTGTGAAGCGGATGAGTCCCGCGTCCTCGGGGCGCACGGCGCAGAGCAGCAGGAAATGCCGGGTCCCTGGGGAGGGAGAGGCTGGCTCCAGGGGATGGTGATGGGCACCCATGGCAGGTGGGGGACAGAGACACCCCCCTTCTGTCTACCCAAACTCCCCTTGCAGGAATTCGCCCCCTCCCAGCCCCAAACCAGCTGTGAGGCTGCCTGCACCCCAACCTTCTTGCCGTATCTTCACCGTGCCGGAGACCTTGATTTTCTCCCTGTCCCGGAACCACTCGCCCCTCACGTCCCCGTGTGACGCCTCGCAGGTGAAGACGGCGTTGTCACCCTCCCGCACCTGGGCATCCTGCAGGTCCTGCACGATGCGGACCTGGCGCTCTGCGGGTGAGGGGCAGGGTGCCAGGGCAGCCAAGAGGGGGGGGGGGGGGGGCGGGGAGCAGGCAGCGCAGGGTTTGGGGGTGCAGGGTTTGGGGAGTGCACATGCTGGGTGGCTGTACCCTGGACGTGCAGCATGGCGGAGGCCCGGCAGTCGCCCGCGTCGCAGGTGTAGGTGCCAGCATCGGCCATCCCACAGCGGTTCAGCTGCAGGACGCGGCGCCGACCCGCTGAGTAGATGCGGCAGTTGGGTCCCGGCCGCAGCTCCTGCCCGTCCTGCCCGGGGAGAGCATGCTCAGGAGTGCAAGCAGGCAGCACCCCGCTGCTTTGCCCCCCCGCCCCCCTCCTCCCCTGCCCCCAGCCCTGGCAGGGAGGGCAGCAGCTGGAGGGTGAAGCAGGGAGAAGGACACGGCGGGGCGCTGCTGGAGGGGGTTGGGGTGTACCCTCACCTTGAACCACTTCACCTCCGCGCTGGGGCGAGATAGCTCGCACTCAAAGCTGGCGACGCCCGTCTCTGGGACCCCCAGATCCCGTGGGACCCTCACCATGGTCACTGGAGGCTCTGAGGGGGAGGACACAGGGCAGGAAGGTTTGGTGGGGGAAAGACACGGGCTTGGGACCGTGCGGATGGAGAGCTGTGCCTGGGGCATCTCAGCATGGGGTGAGGGTGGCATTTCCCAGGGCACCACCACGGGCAAGCACTCATCACTGGTGTCCCAGCTGGCTCTGCACCCAGACCCTGGTCAGGGGGTCCCCACTGCTCGGCTCACATCTCCTCCCTGGGAACAGGGAGGACCCCTGCCACCATGTGCCCGGAGTGGCCCAGCTCAGCCATGGCACCTGCCCTGGGACCGAACGGCTGCAGGACAGGCAGTACCGGTGCCACGCACCCCCCCACACACACACACACCATTCCCCCCAAGCCTGCCCCAGTGACCGTACCCCGCACAAGCAGGCGGGCACTGCAGCGCAGGGTGTCAGCAGTGAAGGTGACGGTGCCTGAGTCCTCCAGCGCCAGCCCCTGCAGCGTCAGGCTGTGCCCGCAGCCCGTGGCGCTGATCCGGCACGTGCTGCTGGGCTTCACCCGGATGCCGTCCCGTGTCCAGACCCCGGGCACACCGGGGTGAGACAGCTCCAGGTGGAAGGTGGCCGTCTCCTTCTCAAAGGTCTCCACGTCTGCCAGCGGCGTCTGGATCGACACCTTCCGGGCTGCAAGGGACCCACGTCCACAAGTGGGGGCCTGCTCCACCTCAGAGCCCCCGGCTCCCCAGTCTGTGCCTGCTGGAGCCGTCCCCTAAATCCAACCCTTTTTAACAGGTGCGCATCCTTGCCCACCCCTGACCCCCACGCTCTCCTCTCTGCTTGACCACCCCTTCCAGCCAAGCACCAGCTCTTGCCCACAGCCCCTCCTCCAGCCAGCAGCAGCAGGCGGGTGCCCTCATCCCCGTCCCCAGCACGGCACTCACGCTCCACGCAGAGCTTGGCCTGCGTGCGGTCGTGCAGGCTCTCGCAGCGGTAGGTGCCGCGGTCGGCGGGGCTGAGGCAGCGGATGGTGAGGGTGCGCCGGCACCCCGACTCCTGCAGCTGGTACTTGCCGCCCGGTTGGAGGAGGACGCCTTGCTTCAGCCACTGCACCTCGGCGGCCTCGTGGCTCACCTCCACCTCCAGGCACGCGTCCCCCTGCTCCTCCGCCACCACGTCCCGCAGCTTCCGCACGAACAGCACCTGCGCCTCTGCACGGCCCGGGCGCTGGGTCAGCGGCCGGCCCCGGGGCTGTGCCCTGCGCTGGACCCCAGCCGGCTCCCTCCCCCCTCACCTTGCACGCTCAGCCGGGCTGCGCTCACCAGCCCCTCGGCGTTGACCGTCACGGTGCCCGCGTCGCCCGGCTGGCACTGCCGCAGGGTGAGGCTGTGGCACAGCCCACTCCTCGTCACCAGCAGCCGCTCGCCTGGCACCACGGGCTGGCCATTCAGCTGCCAGGTCACGGCCACGTCCTCGGGGGACACCAGGCACTTGAAGGTGGCGTCCTCCCCCTCCAGCACAGTCAGGCTCTGCAGCTCCGTGATGATCTCCACCACCCTAGGGACTACAGCCGGGACGTCAGGGCACAACACTGGGGACCCCCCTGTCCTGCGGAGCCACTGAGCATCCCCACATCCCCCTGCCACCGCCATGCTCAGCTTCCCCACTACCCCCCATAGCACAGGGGTCCCCGGGGTGGTGGCCAAGCCTCAGGCACAGCTCACCTTGCACCGTCAGCGTCGCCAGCGTCTGGTCGTCGTTGGACTCGCAGCAGTACTCACCGGCGTCCTCGGGCTCTACGCGGCTCAGCACCAGCGAGCGCTCTCGCCCCTCTGCCATCATCTGCCGGCGGGGGCCGGGTGCCAGCGCCCGCCCGTCCTTCCGCCACACCACATCGCCCCGCGCCTTGCAGAGCTCGCACCACAGCACCGCCCGCTCGCCCTGCCGCGCACGCACGTCCGACAGCCCACGCAGGAACTTCACCTGCAGCTCTGCATGGCCAAACCCCGCCGCGTCAGCACTCGCCACAGGGCTGGGGGTCCCCGGGCACCCCCGCTTCCCTCCCTGCCCACCCACCCACCTCGGACGCTCACGTCGAACCGCATCTGATCATGGGGGGAGAGGCAGGTGTAGGTGCCGGCGTCCTCCTTGGCCACGTTGAGGAGGACGAGGCTGTGGACGCGGCCGTCCTGGCGCAGCTCGCAGCGCTCGCCGGACACCACCTCCTGCCGCGGGCCCAGCCAGGTGACATCGGCTCGCTCCGTGGAGGTGACAGCGGACAGCACGGCGCTGCCACCCTCCAGTACCAGCAGCTTTTCCTGCTCCTCCCGTTTGTTTACAAACAGCACGGGCGCCTCTGCTCCAGGGGAGCAGGGGGCTCAGCCGTGCTGCCGCTGGCAGCACCGGCGTGGGATGGGGGGGCACCAAGCATCCCAGCACAGGGCAGAGGACCTCTCCTGCCCACCAGCATGGGTGAGGGACGCTTCCAGGCTCACCTTTCACACGCAGCATGAAATGCACCTCGTCGTCACCAGCATCGCAGAGGAAGGTGCCACCATCGCCCAGCTCTGCTTGCTTGATGGTGAGGCTGCGCGTGGGGCCCTCGCTGCACACCAGCAGCCGCCCACCCGAGTGCAGTGTCCGTCCGTCCTTCTGCCAGTGCACTGTTGCTGTTTCCGGGGACAGCCGGGCCACCAGCGTCACACTGTCCCCCTCCAGCACCTCCAGCGGACTCTGTGCCTCCTCTTTGTTGACAATGCGCACGGGTCGGGCTGGGGGACACAGGGAACAAGGGGTGTCCCCCCAGAGTGAGGTAGTGCAGGGACGGGACCGCTGCAAGCGGAGAGGCAGCGATGCCCATGGTGAGTCACTGTGGGGCAGGAGGGCTGTAGGGCCGATGGGGATCGTGGTGCATCTGGCTGCAGGATGCTGTGAGTGGCTGGGGGTTGCTGTGGGGCTGGCTGGGGGTCGCTGTGGGGCTGGCTGGGGGTCACACTGGGACCAGATGGGGGTCCTGGTGGGGCAGGCGTGCAGGCTGTCGGGGTCTGGCAGCTCAGGGTCCCCTCAGGGAAGGGGCTTCAGGCGTGGATGGTGGCGGAGCCCACCACTCCTGTATCCCTCCATGCACAGACAGCTCAGCTGCT